CCCGGGACAGGGCCCCGCGGCCCTTCTGCTGGTGCCGCCCTCGTCTCCCTGGGCTTAGCGCGCCCCGAGGCCCGCTGAGAGTCCTGCCCCGAGGTCCCTTTGTGCCCGTTAGTTCGTGTTTTGGGCAGGTTAAGAAATGTCCAGAGTAAAGCGCGAGTCACCGTACCGTAACAAAATCCAGAGTAAACCTCATCTGAAGTAGTTTGATGTCTTATTGACCAGCTGCTGTGATCCATTACCTTTATAATCCTTTGTTTTTCGTCTCACAGGAAAACAAAACCCCGAAGCAGTGCTTGAGGGAAGGACACTGTAGAAGTTTGCAAATGACGTTTTTTGCATGCAAAAGATCGATGGTGAGTGCTTGTCGTGTGTCTCCTGCTAGCGCCCTGGATGCTTGCCATCCTTTTCCCTGTTTTCTGAAGAAGACCACTCAATTCAGTGAAACGGGTGTCATTAGGTGGAGTAGGTCTTGCCTTTGAATTCCGTTCAAAATATGGATGTTGTACATCTGTACAAAGAAAAAGTTTTGGAGTATAAAAGAGATGGAAAAATGCATGTTTGAATTGAATTAGGCTTATAGTGTGACAGATAAATGAGGCATTTTTGCTACTCCTTTTATTAATAAGCAATATTAGTCAGGTAACTGTAGGATAAGATATTGACAAGCTAACTTGAGGTCATTGGAAGAGATCTGTATAGAGAATGTTTAAGTGAAGAGGCTGTGCTATTGAAAGAGGCTTTCACTGATGAAGCTGGCTCTCACACTTGAATTACGCTGTTCTTAATTTTCTTGGAGGACTTGAGTTCATAATAAGTAACAGTTTGGGCTTTTTTTAACAGTGAGCCATTAAGTATAATAGTGAGAAGTCAGTTTTAAAATGTAATTAGATGGAGTTTCCCCTGTTTTATTCAGAAACGGTTGTGTTTCCACGACATTCAAAAAATAGGATGTGGTAAAGATGGTATCAAAGCTTTGTAAGCGTAGGTAGTGCAGGGCTCACTTTTATTTTTAGCCAGTGTGGTGCATAATGAAGAACACACAGCTGAAATGGTACCTAATTTTTTTCTTCCATTCTGTATTTTTATTGAAGTTGTAGCAACTTTTTGTACCCCTTCTATATAAACTATATTAATACATAAAGTGACAAGTTATTTCTTTGGACAGGAAAAAACCTCTGTGTATTTAATGCTTGAAATATCTATTTGAGAGATATATATATATACACACACACAGCAGTAGCGATATATGTATCATTACATGATGTGCCTATATTTCTGTCTCTAGATTGTGAAGGCAGCCTGATGAAACTAAATTTCTAGCCAAGTGTCTCCTGTCATGCAGGAAGAGGCCTGGCTCTTACATGGTTGTATTTAACTGCTCCAGATTCTAAGGCTGATGAGTGACATTTTCCTTGTCCTGTTAACTCTGTAAATTTCAATAATCTTGCTCTGCCACATTTGTTACTTGGTATAATAGTGAGACCGAAAGAGTATCCAAAACCAAGTTGGATGCTAAATGCAGATGTAAGTTATAATATGCTGAAACCATTAGGGGGTTTGCCTAGGTTCTGTTTTCTTTCCAAGGAAATACAGTGTCTTATTAGAGGAGTAAAATTCAGTACATTTTAGATATTAAAGTAAGATTAAGGTTTACAGCAGAAGCTGCTTGTCTCGGACAAGCTGTGTCATCCTGTAGTTAAGCTCTTTACAGATTTTGCTGCAATTCTGAAGGAAGGTTAGTTAATGGAAGTAAAATATCCATCCTAAATCTAGTATCTGAGTACAGCTGAGTTGCAGTCTGTAACTGCCATCCTTAAGACTGACTAAATTCAGAAGAATTCTCCCAAGATCAAAGTATGTTTTTCTGCTGCGCTGGGAAAGAACTTGCAATTTAGCTTCTCTAAGTGCACTCTGTAGCTTTTATTTTAGCTTTACTGTCATCTTTTGCTTCCATTAAATGCCTTTTTTGCAACTGCCAAGAATAAACCTGCAGATTTCACAAGCTGAAAATTATTTCACTTTTTACTGTGGTTTGGGGGTTTGTTTGGTTTTTTTTTTTTTTCCCCTGGAAACTTCTTATATTTAAGTTATCCTTTTCCTCACTGACATTTGCAGTGACTCCCACTTCGACCCAGTCTGAATATTTATATTTTTTAGTGAGATTTAAGATGATATAATGCCTGTTTCATTGGAAGAACCCTATGGCTTGTTGGCTACATCACTAGTTTTCTTTACAGTAAATTCTGCTGTATTTTGGGCTTTATTCTGATGTTACAAAGTGCCAGTATTTCACAAGCGCTCTAAAGCATTTCTTTTGCGAAATGCAAAATGTTTTAATATATTGACTTCAATTTTCAGTTGGATACCAGGGCAAGATTCAGAGGAAGGAAAGGATACTGAAGTCCCCATGAAGAGACCCAGCCATGGGAAATCAGGCCTCATCAGCACTTTACACAAAATAGAGAGGAAAGGAAGAAGACTGTATCTGCTGCATCCTTTTATACAGTAATTTCGTGGAAGGTACCTACTCCTGAGTATTCCAATAGATTGATCTGGATGTGCATTTAAATGTTGAAAAGAAGGCAAGTGTAGAACTGCAAGTTCTGGCCAAAATGGGGACTTGTCACGCGCTTGCAATAAAATACGTAAAATCCAGAGTAAGCTGCAGAAGTTATCATTCTGTTTTGAAGTGAAGTTGTCTTTTGTGGTTTTACTAATTCTGAGCATGTTTTACTATTACACATAACACAAGATACAAAACTGGGAGTTCACTTGACTGATATCCCAAAGGATACCTCAGGATAGAGCTGTTTTCAGAGATGAGGAGTTGAACGAGATTCTGAAATGTATGTGCAAGCTGTTTCCACCCCAGTAGGTTTGCTACCCAATAAACCTGCACTAACAGGTAGGAGCAGTGATTTTTTTCCCAGTCCCACATGTAAAGGATGGCATCTCTTTCCTCTTTCTACAAATCCCTTTAATGTGATGATTCATGTACATGGTTATTAGCACTGTCTAGTCTTGTTGGGCAACTGGATTTACATTTGGTTACTCTAAATGAAAAGGTGTCTGATTTATCTTTCAAGTAATCTGTTGTCTTTATTGTATCGACAGAAGTCCAAGAGAACTATAGCACTATCCTAATCAATGACTTGAAAGCTGTGTGCTTGGTTGTAGCTAATTGTATATCTTTGGATGGATTGAGAAAGATGTTCCTCAGGCCAACAGTTGAGGAGACCATGGCTGCTATTACTGTGTTTTAGAAGTATTTACAGCAGTGTTTAAGTTCCTCTTGAGATGACCCTGAATGATCTTTCTGCATTATTTTCCAAGCAGTTTTATAAATACTAATCCAAATGAGGGATGATGATCTGGACTTTACTGTGTTTATAGAAGTAGTGTTCCACAAATTTACTTTCTACTTTGTGTAAGCAGTATTCTCGTTTTTACTTTGTCACTTCTCTCTGAAGTTCATGTTTATGGGTATAAAATACTCAAATTGTCATTCACTTAAATGATAAATAGTTGCTGCTATATACTTCTTAAAACTTGCTTTTCCTTGAGAATTTTAGTGCTTGGTCAAATTTCATATAATTTCGTAAGTTAAAAAACAACTGAAGTGAAAAAGGAGAGAAATTAAGAGGGAACTGTTGTCTTGCTTTCCTTTGATCAAGAATGGCTGTGGCAGATCTGTCTGAGGTATGACAGTGTTCTTCAAGACAGTTAACATCTATCAGCTAGTCTCTCTTGCCCCACCCTGGTAAGGAAGCGGGATTTATGGGGGTAACAAGCATTAAATAGTGCTTAAACCACCACTGTGGTCAGTACTTACTGGTTCTGTTTAAGAACTTGTTTCTGAAGAATATTTCTTTTTCCTTGCTTCTACTTCCTTTAAGAAGTAAGTGATACTGTAGCTCGTACGTGTGGAAACTCAACTTCAGACAAGCTGATCAGAAACAAGATTAGGAAATCGTGAGAGGGGAGAGAGTCATTGTAACTTCTTGGCTAAAACTTATAGCCATGTGGCTGATTTACATTTAGTCTGAACAGATGCATGCAACACTTATGCTTGTAAAATTGATGACTTCAGTGAATGAGTGCGTGTTGATTATTTAATTCTGTCCATCTTAAGCTACTGCAAAGTGTGTTTATATTCCTTGTATGTGTAGGATTTTATTTTTGCAATCGGAAATCAACAGCGATTCCACATTTTCATGTTCTGTTGATGCAGTGAAAGCTAGTTCATTTGTTGAAGTGCTGTAAACATACTTTGTTTTCCCTAGTTACCATATTATCTCTTTACATATTCTAAAATGATAAATTGGTACTGTATAAATACTGTATTACAGTTACAGTTGATAAATTGTAAATACTGTAAAAGTATTAACTATATAGCACTCTAATTTCAAGTTTTTGCTCACAAGCCTTCTCCCTTTGGAAAAGAAAAAGACATTAAAAAAAAGGAAGTAAAACTAAATTTAAAGCCTCTCGGCAGGAAGTTAAATGTCAGGGAGAAGAGTGGGAATGGTATGCAGTTTTAGTAGTCAAGCACTTTTCCATAGTCTGCACTGGCAGAGTGGCCTGTAGGCTTGATGGTTCAGGTGATTGTTCCTTTCCTAGCCATAATCACTAAGTCTCACCCAATGGCACTCCAGCAGCTCCTTTTGGAAAAGAGCGGACAACTGGTTATTTTTAACTAGCTATTTCCGGTGGAGATCCAGTGCTACATTTAAATGCAGTGTTTGCTATTGGACATTCTGTTAATTTAACAGAGTATGTGTATTGATCCAATGGAGTCCTAGTGTTGAAATTTCATGATGGTTCACAAAGCTGCTTGGACAGTATAAAAATGCAGATGATATGTATCAAAATACTGACTTGCTTGAGAGACCGTCATTCGATTCAGTATTGTGTAACGTAGCATTCTGTCTAAAAATGACTAATTATATAATTGTCTTGGGCTTTTGTGCACTGTCCTACTTGAGAGCTATTAATGTTCCTTGTGTGAAAAAGAGCTAGTTTCATTAACAGCAAGCCCAAAGTACTACAGATTTGCGTATATGATTCCAGCTTTTTCCTTACACACAAAATGTTTTAATTTGAATATATTGGTACTTTTAAGTCTCATGCTTTGTAGTACACCACTGGCTTTTATTAAAAAATACGTATTTCTAGTCTGTGGTAGATTTTGCAGGATTGAACATGTACTTTGTTTGAATCTGCGAAATTGGACTGCTGAAAACAAAAGGTTGAAATGGTGCCAAAAGGCTCTTACTCGTTTTAGAATCACAAATATATGCAGTGCTAATAATTTGTATTGTGTAAGTAAAGGGCACAGTATGCAAAAACCTTTCACTGCTGCTCTAATTTCTCCCATTTATTTTACATAGTGGCAGAGCTGAAGGGTGTTGAGTGCTGTCGAGATTCATGTTGCAGACTGTTGCTCCATCCGTGTTAGGACCTGTCTGCATTGCTGCATCTGGTTTCAGCAGTTAATGTGTTTTCTCCATGGTCCAGTCCTGCAAACACGTTTGTATTTACGTAGCTGTAAACACATACTGCGGAACCACCCACATGTTTATTCTGATAAAAAATGGGCTATACTCATTTACTCTGGTTTGAAAATTCTTTAGGGCATTAAATCTGTTCTTTCAAGTTAGTATGAAGCTAAGCACATTGTTTAAGCTGAATCTGTTTAATGAAGGCCCGTGTGTACATATACTGAAAAGAGAGAGAAAGGGGTTGGTGTTTAACAAGTATGCACTTTTGAAAGCTTTTCTGCTTCCAAAATGTATGCATTTGTATTATAAAGGGCTTCATTATTCAGTGGTTGACATAAGAAATTGGTTGTGTATTCTCTTCACTTCCAAGTTTCTGGGGAGTAGCAGGTTGGATGATAGGCTTTTTTTGTCAAACCAAACTTTTAAAATAATAATATTATTTCAGTGGAAGCCTGAAACAAACTAGACTGACACCTTCTGCTCTTAAGGAGAGCACTAAGTGAAATCATCCTCTAAAAATGCAGTCACAGAAGGTAGGTGGTAAGCAGTATCTGTTGTTTAAGCCTTTGGCTGGAAAACTTAGAAGCTTTGTTGTCATGATGAATTTCACAAGTCCTCGTGCTGCCTTAGCACTTGATATGTGGTCATTTAAAATATGTGCATTTATTCTAAATCTGTATCTCATTGTTTAAAGCTGAAGAGCGTGACAGTTTTAATTTCAGTCATAAACTGTTCTTGACAGAATAGTAACCAGAAACCTCAAGATCCTTTTCCCAAATGTGCATGCTGAGTTACCTATTTCTGGCATAGTTTTGCTGCAGATGCCTGCAGAAAATTGTCAATTTCTGTAAGTGGTACACTCCACAGTGACTTGGTTGACACTTTGAGGGAAGAAGATTCTGGTTTTGCATTATCAGTACTATTGCTTTGAAAGGAGCTAGGGAAAAATAGTGAATATAGAAATTGGCTTGTAATTTATAAGTTCTAATGAGAACTGTGCTACTGTGAAAATGTATTGTGTTGTCCGTCATCATGAAGGATGAGGAATATAGACTTTTTCTGTTAGTTTATGGCAGGAATCTTTGAGGCCCTTTCAGTGGGAGTTCTGAAGTCTTTGTGGTACGTAGGTCACGGAGGTGTAGTATTTTTAGATACTGCCCTTGAATCTCAGGCTTTTGATTCTGTATCAGCCATACTTCTCTAATGACTTTATCAGGATGGCTTCTGGAAGTCTGAGTTGTTGGATCGCTGGCATCTTAAGGAAGATGGAGGTAAACAGACAGTGTGCTGAGGGGATTCATTGTCAGATGTGTAAGCTTTTGCATTGCTCAGTATAAAGGCAGAAACTACATAAAACCCTTTATCAGCTGAGATTGGGCATCTGGTGAAGTGTCCCTTCCCGCTTCATATTAGCAGTCTAGGTGAGAGTTTGACACCCTTTATCAAGCGTGACCTCCTGTGAAGGTTTTTATGCTAGAGAAAGGCACTGGCTCTTGAAAAGGGCATAAAACGTTTTCTTTTGATAGTGTGTTCCAATAGCTAGTAATCCTGCTTTTAGAAGTGCAAGTCTGTCTGGTGATCAGAATTTGACTTCAGCTTCACTTGCAGAAGAAGAGATGGGGATGGCTCTGCAAAAGAGGTTGGTCCTAGGTTGTATTTTCTTGCTGGGAATGTATTTTAAAACTTGGAGGGGGGGAAGATAAGTGTGCTCAATATTTTTTGATGAAATGCATGGATTGACTTCCTGAAATCTTGTGTTATGCCTGTCTTCCTTAGTCCCTTCACATACTTGTAATCTTCTTTTAAGAAGGAGATAAATCCCTTTTATGTTGTTTGGGCTTTTTTCAGTGATCTGCATATGGGTAAAATCCCCTTTTTCTTTGTACACTGTTGATGTGC